TTCCTTACAAATATTGCTAATGAGACAACCTGTAATAAAAATCATTATTTAAGCTAGCCATTTCTCAGAATTAAAAAATATTGATGCTTTGCTTTAGACAAAACTAGTACAAAAATACGTATAACCTTAAGTTGGCATGGAGGAGTAATCACAAAGAATAAAATAATTTTGCTACTAATGTTAAGCTCTACCTCATGAGTATGTTATTGTTAAAAAAATTAATATAGATAAAAGTATTCACTGTGCAGTTGAACTATAAGCAAACAAGCTTTAATGCAAAAGAGCAAAGCAATGCTATAATCATAACACAAGTCTTTTCAGACTGTGGAGTTCTAAAGAACTTGCAAGATTTTAAAGAAGAGGAGCTATTTCAATCACTTGGCACCTTTATTACACTGCCTTACATATGTCCATGTGGTAACTTGCTGTAGTGAGTGTTTCTAAGACAGCAAGGTTGCACAGGCCTGCCTGCTAGAAGTAACTTGTACTGGGCTTGAAGAAGACAATATGAGAAGAAGAACAATTCTTTATCTGAGGACCATGAATAGATTTCAAAAATACTGCAGTACATACAGGGCACATTGATGTAGTTCTATCAATAATTATTTTCTAATATCAGTAAATTAAAAAATAGAATGATTAACTATTAAAAGGGATAAAAAGGTTTGGGAACATTCTATGCACTCACAGAAGTGATGAAATATTTCTGGGTTCACTGTAAAGAATATTCTCATGCAAAATATAAAAGGCTATTGATTAAGCTGCAGCTATTTTTTCATCATGTTCAGACATACAAAGTTCAGATTGAACTGACACCTTATTTAACCTGCAGAAATTTTGTTTTATATTTCTCAAGTGACCAATGGATGAGACAAGGCAATTTATGCACAAAAACTCTGACCCCAATGTCTGTCACCTAGAAAGATGTTGTTTTAATACAATATTTGCCAGGTGCTGCTTCTCAGAAGGTCATGTTGATGGTTGTGGTGGTGGGGAGATAATTGTGGTCTATATGTGTGCTTTGCTACTTAATGGTGGTATCTGGCTTGCTCTGTCAGGGATAGTAATTATTAGAAATAAGATCAGTATCTCAAGATTCATTGAAGTATGTTTGCAAGAGAATACAGCAAAAACCTGTAGTAGCAACATACCAAGTTTCAAAGAAGACTGCTGAATGTGATCTGTCCATCCTTTTCTGTTTTGTAAAACATTAGACTTTGCTAAGGATAAAATGTTTGGAAGCACAATTCTACTGATCTGAACTCTTCAGTGTAAATCATAAGCTCTGTGCTTTATTTATGAACTGTGGTATCCTAACTGAGAAAGTTATGTATCTCAATGCCTTTACTTATATAGTTTTATTGCAACTTTAAACTCTTTCTTTGTTCATACATTTTTGTTTCCATTTTTTTCCTTGTAATTTGAAACTGTGTGCAATTTGTGTATAGAAGCAATTGTTTTGCTGCAGTGTGAGATAAGTCAATCAATTTGTTTTATTTGTCTGGGTTGGATCCAGAATTTACCTTCTGCTTATAGAAAGGCTTTCCACACACAAGGTTCTACCACCCAGTTTTGGGGGATATCCCTCTTTTCCTGCACCCACCCTCACAGCTGACTCCATTCCATGGGGTCCCCTGGCCATCTATCAATTGCTCTGACTTGCAAGGATCTGGCAGAATTGATGTGAGAAAGAGAGGCAGGGAAGAGTGGTTGCACCAGTCCATTTTAACACAACTACATCTGAATCCAACTCAATGGATTTTAATGTTTGCAAATTAATTCCTTAAACAATAACTGCAGAAATGACTGATTTCAGAAATTCCTATGCAGGATACGAAAAATATTTATGTGTGAAATATGGAAGGGCTCCCATTTCTTCATTGCTGCCGTAATGAAATCTGTGCATTTTCCAAGGTGGTTCCATGTCTGTAACTGAATGTTTAAATAATATTGACAATCCTGTAAATGATCTTATTACAATTTGCAGTTTGCTTTATAAATAATTTCATTTAAAATTCCAACTAGAAGTCTCTTCTTAAATTTGTATTCTATCAATTGTTTCTTTCTCTCTTTTTTTTCTGTTCTCTATGAAATTTTATTTTGGAAGATAACTCTAGTAGACTTCAAGCTTTTCCCAAAAAGGACTTTTTCTCTGTGTATGGGATTTCCTCATTAATGAATCTAGTTATTTCTTGGCCTGCTGGGGTGACACTTTTACCCCTCAGATAAGACTGCATTTCATTGTTTGTGTTTACAGGGAATTCCACAATGACAAGTACTTTATTACTAAAAAAAAATGTTATTTTACTAGAACAACGAGCCTTATTAACATCCGTAGCTTTTACTTATAACTTCTAAAACTATGGAGAACTATAAAGAAAAGTTTACATGAACAACAGTTGCACTTTCTGTTTACGAATGAGGGTTGCTTTTTTAATATCTAATGAATGCATGTATGAGGAAGGGGAGAAAATATTTCTGGGGCAAAAATGTTCTGGCTTTAAATTATGTTATGAAAATAAAACATTACATGAATGACACTATTATTTGCCTCTTGGGTATTGTTTCATTGCTACTGAGATCAAATATCTGACTAAGCATTGCTTTTATTTGCATTTAGCCACATACTGTGATTGGTGGGAAAGAGTAACTTGCTTGAGAAGCCAGATCTGGCATGGATTTGGCTATTTGTTCATTTTAAACTTATATTTGGTAGGTGAGGACAGAACTATAGGTACCGTATATATTCCACTTTCTTCACAACCTAATCCAAATTTTAAACCTTTTCTTCTCCTCCTCCTCTGTATTTCCCTTGACCACCAAACACTCCATTTCCCCCCACTGCCCAATCTGATGTTAAAACCTTTTCTTTTCCTCCTCTTCCAGATCTCTCTAATCACCAATCAACTCCATTTCCCTCCACTTTCTTCCTTCTCAATCCGATGTTAAAACCTTCTCCTCTAGGTTTTACCCTTGACTTATCCATGGGTTATATAAAAATCCATGGTTTTGGCCCTAAAACCTTCCCTCGATTTATAAAAAAGGTTGACTTGTACAAGAGTAGATATGGTAACTGCAACATCTGTAACATTTCATCATCATTTATTACGATCAACAGATCCAATAGAGCCAATAGAAACCTCAAACATAAAATTAAAAAACAATCAGCTTTCTAATAGCTGACTACAAGTACCGCAGACTTTTCTATCAGGCCAAATGCAACATTTTTTCCCACCAAACTGCTCCAAGGCAGATTTGCTGGGGTCTCTTACTTAGATGGTGCCCTTGTAATAATAAGGAAGTTGAGTCAATGAAGCATATTTTTTGTCATGTAGCTTTTACGATGAGGCACACCAGAATCTGATTATTCCACTACTGAGAAAATTTGTTGGATATTTTGCCCAATTTCATATCAACTTCTTGGTGGAGGATAAGTCCCCAAATGTAACATTGGCTGCTGCTAAATTTCTTTCAGAGGCAAAAAGGATTGGAGCTCTCTTATGTGTGTTAGATAAAGCTGATAGCAATCCTTTCATTGTTTTAACTGTACTATTTATTCCTTTTGGGTGTAGTTTTTTAAATTTATGTTTGAGTTTTCTATTCGATCTATCCGATCTGTTGATCTTATAAATGATGATGAGTTGTAATAATTCATCTACCCTTTAACAAAATTCTGATTAAATAGCTGCAGATAATTTCCTGTTGAGCAGAAGAAGGAATAATATAGTGATTAATCTGAACAGTCAGAATGGCAGAGAGGGAAAGGATTAACTATCACT